CCCGATTGTTCAGTTTCAACTTATCTTTTAATTATCCCTTCAAACTTAATATAGTTTTATATAGTAGTATACATGTGTGAAAACGAATGAACTATCAAGCGATAATAAAGAAAGTATATATTTTTATAGCTGTTTTCATAAATACCTTAAATTATATAGGTAATCCGACTATAAAGTGATAATTGCGCTGATTCTATTGATCGTATGATTGAAACTTTAGTATTTTACAAGCATTTTGACCTTGGCAAATAATACATCTATAGAATATCAGGTATCAAAGGATGGAAATCAGATTCATTTTACAGCGTTTTAAGTGTCGCTTGCATGGTTAGGTACAGGGTGTGCTAAATTCGAGCCTCATCGTTGGGTCTTATCCTCATCCTCATATGTTTGCGTCCCCCCCATTGAACTCGAACCCCGACGCTCAGCGGACGCTAGCGCAACGCCAAACGCGACGCTGTCTGCCTGAACGGTCTAATTTAAGTTAAGTAAATTGATTCCATTTTTACAGGCGGACGCGACGCAAACGCGACGCGACGCTCGACGCTCTCAGCCTGAATGTACCTTTATTGTTATTATTGTTGCAGATCCTTCATTTTTTCATAGGCTTTTTACAGAAGTACAATATCACTAATGACGTCTTGTCCATTTCAAACCCTTACCTAAATGTATTTGTATGTTTTTTTTATAAAATAGCATATCTAATAAACCAAGTTAGAATGCAAATATCTTGGGTATCCCAAGAGTGTCCCAAATAAAAAATAAATTTTTCTTTTGATAACTCTTAAATTGGTTATTTAAAAAAAATATATACTTAAACCATTAAATTCTACGTAAAAAGGTGCTTTGGAAAGTTCTCATAAAAATACAACATTTTCCATAGCAAAAGAGTTACATCGATTTGTTAAAAATGCACATTTTTGAAAAACACCCCGTAACTCCGAAACGGTAACGGATATCGATGTGCGGTTTTTACCATCATGTTTTTGATAAAAATTTAGCTCCAGACAGCGATATTAGTTTTCGTCTATCTTCTATAGAAAAGGGTGTTTCCTTTTAAAACCGTCCAATTTGACCCACCCTGTACATATGTATTTTTTAGTACTGTGGTTATGTTTGTATGAATGAGGATATTGTGGTTTCAGTATTGGATATTTTTATTTTTATATTCTCGATATAATTACTTAAATATGTTTAAAGGAAATCGTTAAACTACTATAATTAGCTTTCTTGAAAATGAAATATTTGTGGTAGATTATATTTTTCTTAAAAAAATTCTATACCTCTTAACAGACAAAAAACGATTAAAGTTTCGTGAAGTATATATATAGCGAAAAAACACAAAGAACAAGGAAAAAAAATTTTAAAATCTCCAAATTTTTCAAACAGATACATCTATAAAAACCGTTGACGTTCTGTTAAAATGACATATATAAAGTTAAACTTCAACATTCACAATTACTACCTGATAACAATTACTTAATAAGGTAAATCAAAAAGCTTCAAACTTTCTGTATGATTATTTTTTAATTTGTATTTAATTTTTAACTAAATTATTTTTTAATTTGTTTTTAATTTTTACTTTCTTCGTTTATCATCAGTTTCATGTTTCTACTAAAAGTGTTATTTTGGCTCATATCCAAGTGCATTCTATTCATTTCGAAACAATTTGGAAGTGCATAACTCATATACTTCACAAGAGAATTTACACGAAAAACATCAAGATTCTGAATTTAATTGAGAGTTAAATGTTGCAGAAATTTATAAAAATATAAACCAATAAGCAGTATAAATAAGTATAGTATTTTTAATATAGTCTGTAAATATTCTGTTACAAATTTATTTTTATATAAATTTGTCAGTGGTTTGTCAAGCGATTAATTGTTATTAAAAAAATAACAAGGTTAATGCTATTCAAACTAAAGATAAATTTTAAACAATATTTAGTTTACCAAATGCTGATAGAAGATCATGTGTAATGTGTAGTAGGTCAGTGTTTTGTTTAGATTGTGTATATTTATGAACATAAATAAAACATGACCTGGAGAACAATTTGCATGCCTCAGCTAATTCCAACTCCAACATACCAAAAACTGATTCTCAGAAACATTTTTTATGCAAAACTTTGCTGTGTTCTTATAATGACTTATATCATCATAACTTAATTGGTTTTTCACATTTTCCTTAATTGGACGTCGCTATTTTTTCTTAAAACATAAGTTTAAGTTCGTCTGGCACTGCTTCCGATATATTTCTGTTGTTTGATGTTTTTGATTTTATTTTAATTTCATATAACTTTATCATAATTATTAGCATAAGAAAATGTATTATTGTAAGTTCTCTGGCTGTTTTAAAAAAGAAAATTTCTAATATAAGAATTATGATAAAGTCTTTTAATGCATGATAGTATAAATCACGATGAAACAACAAAAACATTTTATCTCATTACAACAAAGTGAAACACAAACACAGTTTTCATAGTGTTGTTTAAACAATGGTTTTATCTTTAATTCTATATTATTTTTTTATTAAATATTAGCAAAGCAAGTATTAAATTATTTACTTTATTATTCTTATTTGCTATCCTAAGTTTATGTGTAAATACATGAGTAAAATTTTGAAAAAATAGTCATATTTTTAATAGTAAATTTATTAATGAAAAACGCATGTTTTTAGAATCATTCATCGTTTAAGTTTTCCTAGTAATGTGTCATTAGTCTATTTGTTTGTTCTTTGTTGATTTATTATGTTTGAATTAGGTATCATGAAATTTATCTTGTTTCCTTCATTTTGATTTATACATCTTCATTATTTCCTCGTAACTATACAGGGTGTCCTTGCTTGCATTAGTAGTTTCTAACTACGGTTTTTAGATTGGAAATATTGTTTGCATCAGTAAATATTTTCAGTATCTATACCTAACCAAACCAAACCAATACAAACCCAGCCAGCGACACCCTGTATGTATATGCTAATATTCATAGATAGATGTAAATGAACATTCCTTATTTATTCATACATCGTACGCTCTATTCAAGATCTAAGCAAATTAAATTTAAAGAAAAAATAATAGGTATATGCGATTGAATGATGTATTATAATTTTATATTCAAATTAATTCTAATTGCAGGGTACCAGACATAATACCGTATGATCGACAAAAAGATGGCAATGTGATGTGGCTTTTGAAATGACAAATCACTGATAATTTCTGCATGGTCGACCTCTGTATACCATTAAACAGATACCTACTTTATATTCTGCCCAACGGCTCAGGGAAAATTTCGACATATATGACAAAAAAATGACAGAAAATACTAAATACAATTTGTCTCTAAATTAATTAGACAGACACAATTGTCATTGTCAGGGATCTTTTTGTTATACAGGCTATATAAACATAAAAGTTTCTATACACAAGGTTATTTAAAATATTCTATATTAATTATTGGCAAGTTTCTATGTAATTTTTTCGGTAAGTGATATACAGGGTGGTCCGAACTGTATTCGGGAAACTTTGGCAGCATATTCTGCAGATAAGAATAAGTAAAAAAGTTCGTATAAATGTATGTCCTAAAATGCTTAGTTTCGGAGATACAGGGTGTAGAAGTTTCATTTATATTTCGATCTTTTCTATATAATTTCTGAAGTAATATTTGGATGAAAATTGGTGCCTGGGAGTTTTTTGGCATGATAAATTTGATTTTGATGTCAATATGACTCCTACTTGTAGAGGGCGCCACCTACATATTTTTAACTGGTCTGAAGAGTACCTAATAACTTTTCGTCCGTACCTATGTAAAACTACTGAGTAAAAAATATACATTTACGACGTAAAAAAGTTAAGGTCTCTTGGTAAAAATCGCTACGAGTAATGGTTCTCGAGATATTTGGAATCGAAATTATCAATACCTGTCGTCATATATATTATGTCGTCCCGTACATAACATGTCGACTAAAGCTTGATTTTCATGCATCCGTTATCCGACGATACGATGATACGATATTAATTTTATTGGTTGAATTTAAAGACTTCGGTTGGTTAGTAACGGTTAACCAATAGAAGCCTTTAAATTCAACCAATAAAATTAATATCGTATCAACGTATCGTCGGACAACGGATGCATGAAAATCAAGCTTAAATAGTTATTAGAGTGAAATCATAAATTTGAAATGTTTTTCTGTCAAAAATTCAACAGAAACTGTTTTATCATCATTTTTCGAAGAAAAAATGATGATTAATTTAAAAAAAATAAAAAGTTCCCAAATTTATCATTTCAGTAAAATAACTATCTACTTACTCAACACACAACTACATAATATGTTTGTCAATAATGACATATATTGATTATTTCTATTCTAAGTATCTTGAGAACGGTTGGTTATAGCGATTTTTATCAAAAGACATTTTTTACGTAAAAAATCACGGAAATGTGTATTTTTTCACTCAGTAGTTTTATACAGGTACGGACGAAAAGTTATTACTCTTCAAAACAGTTAAAACACATGTAGGTGGCGCCCCCTACAAATAGAAGTCATATTAATAGCAAAATCAAATTTCTCATGTCAAAAAACTCCCAGACACCAATTTTCATCTACATATTGACGTCATTTCAGAAATTATTTGGAAAAAATCGAAATAAAAATGAAACTTCTACACCCTGTCTCTCCGAAACGAAGCATTTTAGGACAAAGATTTATACGAACTTTTTTACTTATTTTTGTTTGCAGAATTACTTCCCGAAAACAATTCGGACCACCCTGTATAGGAATCGACCTAATAAAACTTATCAGCAATTGTCATTTCAAAATTTACTGTGAAGTCGATTTATCCGATCATACAGTATAATATTGGATAAAAACATAATTTGCTGTAAATTATTTTAATTTGCTTGTTCGCATTTTGAATAGAGTGCATTTCATCGCATCGTCGATTCTGTTTGCGATTTATTTCATTGTGTTTGTGACAGTTTTTTAGCTGCATTTTGCTTGTTTTCCAGCATGGCCGCTCTGATTCGTATCGTGTAGCAACCGTACCCAGCAGTTACGATGATCACAAAACGGCCGATGGCCAACCGAAGGTATTACAAGGTTTTACTGTTATCGGTGGTGGGATTTGGATAATTTCAATTGGTTCTATACAGAGTGACCTACTGTTATCGGAAATCGCCGTATCATTTCACAACCTTTTAAAAAAGAAAAAATAAGTTGACATTTGAAATGGCAGTTCTGATCAGAGAACTTTTATAAAACAGTACATCACTCTGTATAATATTTTATGTAGGGTTATTTTTTTATGTTCACAGAAAAAAAAATCCATATACAGGGTGAGTTTTCTTTGATGTTTTCTATGGGTATCTCGGAAAGTACTGGAGATAGAGAGTCGGTTAAATGGGGAAAGAATTGCAGTTTTGTGGGGTCATAAATATGCGCCTATCAAGTTTTTGAAAAAGTTTATGGGTTACTAGATATTTCGAAAAAAAAACAATTTTCGGCTATTTTAAAAATTGTCTCTAATTCCGTTATAATCTATTTTAGACAAAAAAATTTAAGATAATAGTTGTAGATAATCACATCCTTAAGGAGATTGTGTTCTTCGTTTTTTTCTAAAGCTTGTCATTTTTGACATATGACACAAACATATGTTTTTTTAAATGGAAACCATAGTTGGCCATGACTTCATAAAAAGCGCCATTTTTTAAGCTTTTCAGCGATCTAAGCTATAATATGTTTTTTTCGAAAAATTACGAGTTATAGCTAATTAATATCTTTCTTGACTAATTTCACTTAGTTGGCAAACACGGTCTTCCTCTAGTTTTTTGCGTAAATCTGTGGATTCGGTATAAAGTTGAGGAATGTAAATATTCTTATTTCTTATTCTGTTATGATTTATAACTTATATATAATTAATAACTAAATTAATATATAATTTTAACTAATAAATATATAATTTTTAACATTTCTATCATTATGGGGGTAGTGTCATAAATGAAAGTCATGTTGGAACCACTCTATTGATGTGCGAGTCTCTAAATTTAACATGTCTTGAAAACCGTTCTAAAAAGCGTAAGTAACGTTCTACCGGTCAACGTATCCTCGAAAATGTATGGCCAAGAAAAGTTGACCCAATAATCATACACGCTTTTCTTCATTTGAAAAATTCATATTTACAATTTTTGTTTATTTTAATTTACAAAGTTTGGATGTGATATTTCTGAGAGCACCGACAGTTGAACTTGTTTCCATGTCTAAGTAAGTGAAATTGTTTAGAAATAATGCGAATTGGTTTCAGTTTTACTCAGTAATTTTTCGAAAAAAAAAACATAAAGCTTATAGTTCTGAAAAGCTTAAAAAATGGCGCTTTTTAGAAAGTCACGGCCAACTATGGTTTCCATTTAAAAAAAAACAATGTTTGTGTCATATGTCAAAAATTACAGGCTTTAGAAATAAATGGAGAACACAAATCTCATTAAGGATGTGATTATCTACAACTTTTATCTGAAAACGTTTTGTCTAAAATAGATTATAATGGAATCAGGGACAATTTTTAAAATAGCCGAAATTTGTTTTTCTCGAAATATCTAGTAGGCCATGAACTTTTTCAAAAATAAAGGCGCATATTTATGACCCCACAAAACTGCAATTCTTTCCCCATTTAACAGACTCTCTATCTCCAGTAGTTTCCGAGATGCCCATAGAGAACATCGTAGGAAACTCACCCTGTATAAAAACCAACCCCCGTACATCCCGGTATCATAAATACTCAAGCAAACATTTTTTGTTGTATGGTCAGTTGTGATTGGGACAAAAGTTATGAGTTTTAAAGTTTGCCAGAATTTACTATATCAAACATTCAATTAGTATGTAATATAAAAATGTTTAATGCTCTTGAGGATGTGAATATTTTCTTAAGTATCTAAAGTGTTATAGTCATTATCGATATCGGTTAAGTATTTTAGCGGTACACAGCGGTTATGGAAAGATAAGAAACTGTGCTTGCCGAGTAAACGATAAAATGCAACAAGGAATTTTCCGCAGTTCAATTTAAAAGCTCATTGATAAAACGATTTAAAGAAAATAACAGTAATTGATATTTTATCGAGTTCAATTGTTGACTAATTGGTTTTTCCGGTGTTATTAGTAGGAAAAATTGATTGTTATTTATATAATTTTATTATTATTCTACAAATTTGATATATCTGTTGATTATTAACCGACCATACCACTAGGTATGGTAGGCTATTAAGATCGAAAAAAAAATGTTTTTTAATTTCACTCAAAATGAGGTATTTGGGTCATGGATGACCTAAATACAAAATATTTTCGTGGTGTCTATCTGTCTGTCTGTCAGTCTGTCCGTCTGTCTGTCAGTCAGTCCGTATGTAACACGATAACTCAAAAACCGCTAAACCGATGTTAACCAAATTAACACGGAATATCTCAATTATTTAGGTCAAAATTACATTAGCTAGCGAAACGCGGTTTTCAAATTAAGATTAGGAATAATATTTACAACAAAATTTGTAATAACATCAAAATCAGTCAAAGTAGCAGATTTTGAGATATTAACATATTTTAGTATGGGCGGCTTATACGTGCCTCCAGGCTCCAATTTTTTTTTAAACTTGATATAGCACTGAAAATCAATGAAAACAGTTTTAGATAGGCATATGGTACAAATGAAAAATAAGTTATATTTCTAGTTGCTTAATTTAAAAGATATATAAAAATTGCAAGAAAAGTCAGGGGCGTACATTTTTTTCCGATTATTTTCGATAAGTCCCTGGAACGCCACTGAAGTTATTAATTTTAATTTAATTATGTCTAAATTTAGGCCATAATTAGGAGAAATAATACTGACAAATTTAAATGAAATCGTCAATAGAATATTTAAAATAATTACAAAAAACTATTAAATTAAAAAAAAAATTAAATTAAAAAATAATTTTTTGATCTCCCCCTGTATATTTTTACCCTTTTAGACGGTGATTTGAATTGGCTTAAAATATAATAATTTTATTGACAAACCAAATACAAATAAACCATATGGAAAAATACGTAATGCATATTTCTTGATTTATGTTTGATTAAAGCTTATGCAATATTTGTATTTAGATATACAGTTCTGATTTATAAACAAACTTTATATAAAAAAAAATCTTCTTTGATATTGTGGTTATTTGTTTTAATTGAATCAAAGTGGTTGGGAAAGTTTATTTTTTATTATATCTAAAAGTATGTTTCGTTCTAGGCACGGAGAAAAGTAACGAAGAAACAAAGGAAAGCGGGAGATTTAGACGACCTAAAACAAGAATTAGATATCGATTATCATAAGATCACACCAGAAGAGCTTTATCAGAGATTTCAAACTCACCCAGAAAATGTAAGTAAAAATATTTTTTTCTACAAACGTCAGTAAAAATGTAATTTTTAACGCACGCTGTCAGTGCCTAAAATGTGACATTATATCACTGATGGTAAAAGTCATTTACTTTTAGCACTGGTGCTAAAAGTAAATCACGAGATTTACTTTTAACACTGAAGCGATAATTGAAAAAAAAATCAAGTCAACGTAAAATAATTATTTACTCAAATTAAATGTACAGTGTGTCCCATTTTGGTTGAAATCATAGGGTATCTCCGTTATTAGTGAAGATAGAAGGGTGCGGTTTGCACAAACCTGTCCCACTTTTTCGTCAAACGGAAGATGCTGTAAACAAAATTTTCATAGCCCTCTTCATTTCTGAGCTACAGGGTCTTTTCGAAAATTTTGCAATTTGGGACACCCCCTGTATCTCTGTTATTGTTAAAGGTATCGAGAAGGCGAAAACTGCTTATTGTAGAACTTTTTACGTAGAATACAGTGGCGTAGTCTGTTTTTCTACCAAAAAAATATTTTTGAAAATATGAACTAATGTTATGTTTTTTTAAACGGAACATCCTGTATATTTATAAATCATATGATCTGTCTTGCTATGAGCTTCTCTAAAATATATATCACTCTATATTTATTTTCACTATTTACTGCAATATTTAAAATATATAATTTTCTGATTAGTAGGCCGTGATAAATAACAAAAAATCAAAATGGTATTTACTAAAATAGTTATACACATATTAAAATTTATTTGGGATTGATATATTTTACTTTTTACTAAATAACTGTTACCACTGAAACTGTGAATATATTTTTTTTTTTTATAACGGGATGGGTTTGCAAATATCTAAATCTTGAATTATTAAAGCATTTTTCAGGTGTTCGACATTGTTGTAGTGCCTACGATATATTTCGTATTTCAAAAATTCCCAAAATCAGAAATCGAGAACGGCGAAATCCGGGAATCGAGGAGGCTATTAATATGCGTTCATTGATTCCAATTCGTTGATTTGAAAAATAATAATTTAACAGTATTCTAATATTTCCATAGTTATGAGGGGGAATGTTCCCCATCTTGCTGAAAGTATATTTCACGTAAATTAGCTAAAGGAATATCTAAAATTTCCGATACGATAGATTATTCTTATGTATACACGTATTCCAAGATTTACAAATAGCGGTAGAGAGTTAAGTTTCCCTAATATATAAAGAATTTATTAGCGGCTCCCAAAATAAAACAAGAGACAGATAGCAGTATACTTTTAATAATTCTTTAGTTTCTTTTATTATCAATCATGGCCTACTAATAAATATGATGTTTTAATAAAAACTTTTAAATATTGCAGGAAATAGTGAAAATAAATATAGAGTGATATATATTTTTGAGAAGCTTATGGCAAGACAGATCATATGATTTATAAATATACAGGGTGTTCCATTTAAAAAAACATAACTTTAGTTCATATTTTGAAAAATATTTTTTTTGTAGAAAAACAGACTACGCCACTGTATTCTACGTAAAAAGTTCTACCATAAACAATTTTCACCTTCTCGATAGCTTTAACAATAACAGAGATACAGGAGGTGTCCCAAATTGCAAAACTTTCAAAAAGACCCTGTAGCTCGGAAACGAAGAGGGCTATGAAAATTTTGTTTACGGCATCTTCCGTTTGACAAAAAAGTGAGACAGGTTTGTGCAAACCGCACCATTCTATCTTCACTAATAACGGAGATACCGTATGATTTCAACCAAAATGGGACACCCTGTACAATTAATGAAATTACAATTGGAATAAGTTATTCCAATTGTAATTTTATTATCCATGGCCAATTTCATTTATAGCTGTAGCACAAGTAAAGGTATCTCTGACGTGAATCTTGTACCAAGATTATAAGCAATGTTTATTTTGTAAAGAGTCTTCTATATCACCCTTCGCTACGGTACTGGACTTCCATCCACCGTGTCGCTTAATTGTATTAAAATTAGCTTCAGAATCTGCCAGCAAACTAGCCGAGGATCTTCGGAAGCAATGTCCAGTATAAAGATGAGAATCGGGCAAATTTAAAAATTTAGCAATATTGGCAGGCATCTTACCAAATGTGTTGATTCCAACTGGAGTCGTGGCACATTTATTCTTAATATATTTTGTAAATATTCTTGAATGGTTGATGGTTGCTGGACGGAGAGAGCTATGTACTATTTGTTATAATTCAAATATAATTTACCGGTAATAACAAATGTGTGTTCCACATTAGTTTTTGTATCTGGAATATGCACGATTAATGAAGTTCCTACATCCTCGATATTATTTAATGTCAAGTTATATAGTTCTTCACGACGGCACGCTCCAAATATGCCGAAAGTTACGGCAACTTTTTTCATAAGGTATATTTCATCCGACGCCTCTGCAAGAAATTTGCCGATCTGTTCTCTGGTCAATATTTTCGACTTCTTTGGACGATATCCCTCACCTTTTCTTGCTTCAAAAAAGCAATAAGCCTGTAATATTTGCTTATGTCCTGATTGTTAATCTTTATCATCGCCTTGACCATGGAATAATTTGACCAAAGCGTTGACGATTTCCATCTTTTGGACTTTTCTTCGAAGTATGCCAAAAGTACTTGCTTCACTGAACTTGCCAGTGCCATTAACATTTTTTAGGTCACACCATCTCAAAAACCGATTATATGAAAACTCGTTCTGATCCTTGGAATTGCTGGGTAATAAATCAAAAGTAATTCTGTTAGCCGCTTCTTCAATTTCTGCTGGGAAACACTCAGTTTCTTGATCACTTTCCATCATTTTACAAGAGCTGAGGCATGTTGAGGCACAAATTTGACATTAATTGACAACAAATGATCGAATGGATCGAATGTTTGGAACTATGGTTTGGAATCTTTCAGTTACGCTAGCAACCATAAACATCATAATTAATTTGATTTCAGAATGACATATTAGCTTTGTTTGGGTTCTTGTTATTATCGATTCTGAACCGTCCTAGAACTCTGCAGCGCATGCGCAAATGGAATATTGTCTTCATATTTCCTTCTGCGCATACGCATCACAGTTCTAGGACGGTTCAGAATCGGTAATAAGAGAAACCCGAAGTAAGCTAATATGAATTATTCATTAACGCCATTAACGTAAAAAGTAATAATACCTTCATATATACGAGCATAAACTTGTTTGTAGAAAAAATAGTGGATGATGTGTGTGCTAAAAGTGATTTTATTTTGTTTCAAAGAATATACCTAGCTAGAAAAAGAATGGATTCTGCCATACTGAAAAATGGTCCTACAGTTTTTAAAAACAGCTTTTTAAATGAGCTTATTTATTGAATTTTGCTCTAAAATAATTAAATTTGATTATTAAATCTTATTTTTTACACAAATTCAACAATACTAATAACAAGTATCGTTGTGATGTGTAAAAAATATATTTAACAGTATAATTTATACAATTATTAATAAAATATTATTTATTATTTAAAGTTTTTATTTATAAGTCAAATATTTAAACATCGTTTATTATAATAAAACAAGACCAACGTAATACGCACAAAGTTTTGTAAATGGAGTAAATATAAATAGGTACTTAAATGATGGCAAAAATAAAAGACTTACATTATATTTTTAGGGCCACAAACAAAAGGAATTGTCTAATTAAAACACATATAACAAATTATAGTTTGAAAAACGTTTTGATAATCATTTTAATATATGATATTATGATTGGCGCTATGACAACGACAATATTTTTTGAGAATTTGACAATAATATGACTATGGCCGTTGGAAACTATGGAAACTACAAAAAAATTCTGATTTAACGCCATCTGGCAAGAGAACTTCTTAACCTAAAAATTAATTGCACTACCACCTAGTGGCTAGGGTTGGAACTATTTTATTTGAGATTTCCGTGGAAACGGTGGAACCGCTTTTGCTATTTCACTTTCCCGCCCCTGTTTTGTTCTAAGGGATGGGCCTTCGGCGTCGTGTTCCAAGCTTCCCTTCTCACAAAATAAAATACCACTTTTAGCACTTATATCATAAATAACTATTTCATTGTTGTCATTTTTCTGTCTAAAGCCCCGTCCACACACAACGCTGTACCTGTCAGTATTGTCTGTTGGCTAAAACGGAAGACCGTTTATGTAAGAAATATCTGTTTGTTTCGTATTTGGAAACATTTCCAAATAGAAATAAGTCACGAAAATTTTTCTGCGGAAATGCATAATTTTCAGTTTTTCAACTTTAGAATAGCCGAAACCAGTTACATGAAAACGCGTTTCTGTTTTTCATTCTAGACATTTTTTATTCATAATTTTTTATCATTTAGTTTTCTGTTCTCTGGTCACGCCTATAATGGCGATAATATCCAGATGTATTCATTATTACAAAAATTATAGTATTAGAGGTCAAGTAATTAAGATATAAACTTAACTTGCTCAATGGATTTATTTTTGAACTTAATGGGTGTCTTATTTTAGATACCCACTATTTTTGTAACAAATTAGCATGATAATACTCGTAATGCTCGTAATCCTTACTATCTATATTAAACAATCGAGGACATATACTTAATTCGAGCAATTATATTTTTACTATAATCAATAACTTATGGCCCTTTATCATTATTTATGATCACATTATAGTGTTTTGTAATCTCTTAGTACAATGTATTGATCGATGAAAATGTATCGCTAAATTTAGCCAGAAACAAATAATAGTGTGGCGTAGTTTTTGTAAAAACTTACGTTTTTCTCTTGAATTGTTTATTTCTTAATGGTATTCAATCAAGGAATTTTAAGACGAGGATCTCTTAAATAATAATGCATATCGGCGCATCTTGAAAAATTAGTTTAAGTCAATGACTAAAGAATATAAGGACATGTAACGCCCCTATACGGGCTGCAGCAAAATTTGTGACCTCAGATGCCTTTTTTTTTTGGTGGCAAACAATGAGTCATCAGCTGGTCACCAACAACAATTTTAGCAATTTTTAATAGGTTGTGTGTAGTGAACTTTGTATAAACTTTATTACAATGCTGATTAGTTGTTCAGCTTTCAAATGTAAAAGCAGCAGTGACAAGAAAGAGCCAGGAGTTACGTTTTATAGGTAAATAAACAGTCCGCTCCATCTTTTTAGGGTTTTCTTAGGTTTTCTTGTTGAATTCGATAATTATTTTTCTAATATTATATGAACTTGATGTGTGCTATACGTCTATACTAGTTTTGTACCTTTTGTTAACATTTTAATACGTTTTTTTTCGTAATTAATTAGTATAATGCCATCACCTACACCATAGGCATAGTCAAAACATTAATAAAACATAAACTAACGAAAGGTGATTCTCGTTTTAGGGTCTCAGTCACGCAAAAGCGAAGGAGAACCTGGAAAGGGACGGGCCCAATGCACTCACCCCACCAAAGACGACGCCGGAATGGGTGAAGTTCTGCAAGAACCTCTTCGGGGGTTTCGCCTTGTTGCTGTGGATCGGCGCCATCCTCTGTTTCATAGCCTACGGGATACAGGCCAGCACCGTGGAGGAGCCGGCGGACGATAACCTCTTCTTGGGCATCGTCTTGGCGGCCGTTGTTATTGTTACAGGTGAGATCGTACTTTCTTTAAAAAATGTCTATACCTATGTGGCGGATTCATCTCTCCAAAAAATCCTATATGGGTATTTCGTCACTGCAAGAAAATTTATAAAATAAAATAGTTATTTTTTGTAAACCACTTCTTATTTCACTAAACTGAGATATAAACCATATAAAAAATATATTAATAAAAACGACTATCCACTATAGTTTATTGACAAAACATTAAACGAAATACAATCTCCAAATCATAGACACAATGATAACAATACACAATATATACAACTTACAATTCCATACATACGAGGCGTTTCGGAAAAAATAAGAAGGAAAGGAAATAAATATAATATACGAACGTCTTTCAAAACACAAAATACACTTAGATCCATTTTATCGCATACTAAACCAATGAATACAGAACAACAAAGAAAAAAAGTAATATACCAAATACCATGTGAATGCGATAAATTTTACATTGGTGAAACACCTTTAAATGTTCGAATTAAAGAACATAAAGATTATTTAAGAAAGGGAGATTTTCAAAAATTTAAGATTTGTCAGCATTCATGGGGCACAGGGCACAGAATACATTTTAATAACGCCAAAATTATAATGAAAGAAGCGATAGCCTCTAAAAGAAAAATAAAAGAGGCTTTTTTACTTTGAATAAGAAGACTAAGGAAGGAGCATAATGCTATCCATGTATTCATGCATGGTGGGCGGAAAAAGCACTCTAGGGTGGGGATCCTTGACAGTTCTGTTTGACGATTCATTTGACACATTTGAATTTGATTTGAAATTTCATGGATTTGTCAGTCTTTACGGAGCTTAATTTATGTTATTTATTATTTATTCTACTACTGATAGTTGTATAAAGGTAGTAAATCTAGATGGAAATTGACACTATCGCGATTTATCGAAAAAGACTCTAAAATAGTTGGTTGTGTAGCGTGCGGTAGATCTCGGCAAAAATTGAGTGAAATAATGGAACAACTTTTCGCTAGTAAGTGACTATATAATATACATACGTGTAGTAAACCGATCATTTATGAAATTCACTTAAATTAACTAATTATATATTTTTTCTTGCATTTTTGCTTTTATTTACTACTTGTCAAAGATTAGATGTCAAAGAATTTAGATACGTCAATTTGATTTACCAGATTTACCTACCTAATAAATAATTATTATAACTTATCTATTTTTATTAGAATTATATATTTTTGTAACAATTTTAATAACTACCAACATTTATTCACAACGTCAAATAAAACAACATATTATTGAATCTACCCTACATCATAGTTTTACATTTTTTAAATAAAATTAGAACGGCACTGATAAACCGGAATTTAAGTCGGCCATATTTGAGGCCCATCGCGGTGGACCTAAGATTTTTGATATGCTCCTTCCTTAGTCTTCTTATTCAAAGTTTTTGTAATACAGTCTAATAAAAATAAATATATTGCTCAGGCATCTGTAGATGTTAGTAATGTATGGCAATCGCCTCTTTGATTTTAAAGAACATAACATAAATAAACATAACATACGTAAAAATTAAAAATAATCATACAGAAAGTTTGAGGCTTTTTGGTTTTACCTTATTAAATAATTCTTATAAGGTAGTAATTGTTAATTTTGAAGTTTAACTTGATATAATGTCATTTTAACAGAACGTCAACGGTTTTTGTAGACGTATAGGGTTTAAAGCAGAAGTGTTTACAAAAAATAATTATTTTATTTTGTAGATTTTCTTGCAGTGGCGAAATACCCATATAGGATTTTTTGGAGTACTTTCTTTTCCAGACAGGCCTGACTACTGTTTCCGTATGTGCTAAAAGTGGCAATTATTGTGGCAATTTAACTACTAACTTTATGTCTTCCTTTATTTATGGCCCCGCAACCTGGGTTGTATCTTGACTAGAGGTGGGCAAAGATTGAACGAGTATTAAAAATGAATCGTGAAACTCGATTCACTACTGAGAATACGGTTCGTTCAATGGAATCGTGGCCAGCACGGTGTTGTATTATTATTTAGAGACTCGGCTTGAGAATAAATCGGGAGTAAACGCATAACTTAGTAAACTTTTTTTGAAAACGGCAGACATTATAAACAGAAACTACAACTACAGATTATTATCGTTGTACAACATATACACATAATGCAGCCAGCCATACATACATACCGAATTGTCGGGCTATCTACCCACGAATCCATACAATTTGAACGAAACAGTTGTAAAAAAGAGTCGTGAGAATTGATTCATTGCTTGAACCGTATTGTATACGGTTCGTTCAGTTGAATCGTGGCTAGCACGGATCCATAAAATTTGAACGATGAGCCGTAAAAAAGAGTCGTTAGGATTGAATCGGGTCCCAATGCGACTAGTTTGTTTCTACGGCATGACGGTAACTGTGACGGTAATATACATAGGTATAGAGATAGTCGGGCACCAATATTTAGACTTGAACAAAAGCCCTGAACAAACATGGTGGGCATAAAATGCAAACGATAAGACCGTTATATTTACAAGAAAAAAACTTATTTACACTGTGCTTAGTACGGGACTATCTGTAATGCTTTTAATTTTCACGTTCATATTTCATCATTGTTAAAATAATATTTACCGGCTATAAACCATTAAATAATGTAGGACTAAAAGACGAAATCGTATTTTTATGCAACTTCCAAATAAATATTGCTGGCCTCTGCTCAATATGATAAAAGAAACGGCGTCTGCGATGGATATGAAAAGAAGATCACTGTCATTTTATATGTAAAATTATATGGGAAATGTCATCGATGTTCATTTCCAAGCCAACTAGACGCCATTTTTTTCGATCAAGCGATATTATGTACTATTTAGTATATGAAGATTAAATCAGAATTAAAATATGCTCTACAAAATATTAAGTCGCCTTTAATAAATAGTATACATATATGAATTGGATTGGATAATTTAATATTATTGGTAAAATAACCAATCCAATTACGCCAGTGCCATAAAGTGTTGAAAAAGTCAAATGAAAGAACTGTATATTACTTTTCTGGTCCCTTAAGTATCTAATTGTCCGACCAAATTATCGCAGGTAGTGCCAGTTGCGATTCTTGTTTTTATGAAACGTAAATTGTGCATGTGGTTCGTTCAAATGCACGAATCGTGGGAGTCGATTCAATATGAGAAATTGAATCGTGTGATTCGATTCACTAAAAAGATTCGTAATGCCCATCGCTAGTCTTGACCACTTCAACAATTCTCCACCCTTCGGTCCTGTTCTGAGTGGTCTTTTCCCAGTTGATGACCCCCAGAGTTTGACAGTCTTAGACGCCTAAGTGCTTTGTAGTTAGAGACTTCTCCCCAGAACATTTTGATTATTCTGAGTATGCTGACTACTATTCTAAATAGTATAGTGTTTTATTTTGCAACATTAATTATACTCTCATAAATATTGTCATTGTACAAACTTTTAATTTTCTTTTTGTATTTGGCTAAATTCTTATTTTTAATTTCCTTCGTCTATAAATAGGTTATCAAGTTTAACAGCAAAGTCAACGTTCTGGATTCCTTTTTACTATTAAGGACACTTACCTACCAGTCATATAAGGAAGGAATCGATAATGGCTCTTTCACGCTCACTTAACCTGCTCTAATTTTCCTAACGTCTCATTTCTCGAACTTCCTCCAATACACTTATGTAGGTCAACGTAACACTTACGTGCATCATTAAGAACCCTTTGTTATAAAAACTTGCTCTTTAAATATTTATGAATTAAAAGAAATGAATATAAAATTATTTAGTCCGTATATTTTTTAATAAATATACAACATACGACAGTGTCAACTAATTGACTTTAACACTTTTTGTTATTTTCAGGTATATTTTCATATTATCAAGAAAGCAAAAGTTCCAAAATTATGGAGTCGTTCAAGAACATGGTGCCCCAATTCGCCACTGTGCTCAGAGAGGGCGAGAAATTAACCCTCCGCGCCGAAGACTTGGTGCTAGGAGACGTGGTAGAGGTTAAGTTCGGAGACAGAATACCAGCCGATATACGTATCATCGAATCGAGAGGTTTTAAAGTAGACAACTCCTCCCTTACCGGCGAGTCTGAACCCCAGAGTAGAAGCCCCGAATTTACACATGAAAATCCACTCGAAACGAAGAACCTGGCTTTCTTCTCTACAAACGCCGTAGAAGGAACCGCTAAAGGCGTTGTTATCAGTTGCGGAGATAACACTGTGATGGGTAGAATCGCTGGTTTAGCCTCAGGGTTGGACACCGGAGAAACACCCATTGCCAAGGAAATCCACCACTTCATCCATTTGATCACTGGCGTCGCTGTTTTCTTAGGTGTTACGTTTTTCATTATCGCTTTCATCCTCGGTTATCACTGGCTGGACGCTGTCATTTTCCTGATTGGTATCATCGTAGCCAACGTGCCCGAAGGTCTATTAGCCACAGTAACTGTCTGTCTTACCCTAACTGCCAAAAGGATGGCGTCCAAAAACTGTCTCGTCAAGAACTTGGAAGCTGTAGAAACTCTTGGTTCGACCAGCACGATTTGCTCAGACAAAACCGGTACTTTAACACAGAACAGAATGACAGTAGCACATATGTGGTTTGATAACCAGATTATCGAAGCAGACACCACAGAAGATCAGTCTGGAGTACAATACGATAGAACCAGTCCAGGGTTCAAAGCCTTGTCCCGAATCGCCACTCTTTGTAACCGTGCTGAATTCAAACCTGGCCAAGAAAGTGTGCCAATCCTAAAAAGAGAGGTTAACGGAGATGCTTCTGAAGCGGCTTTGTTGAAATGTATGGAGCTCGCTTTAGGTGACGTGATGTCCATCAGAAAGAAGAACAAGAAGATTTGTGAGGTTCCCTTTAACTCTACTAATAAATATCAAGTTTCTATTCACGAAAACGAGGATCCTAACGACCCCAGGCACATTCTGGTGATGAAGGGAGCTCCGGAACGTATTTTGGAACGGTGCAGTACCATTTTCATCTGCGGAAAAGAGAAGGTGTTGGACGAAGAGATGAAGGAAGCGTTCAACAACGCGTATTTGGAATTGGGAGGCTTAGGAGAGCGAGTGCTCGGTTTTTGCGACATGATGTTGCCCAGCGACAAATATCCCATCGGTTACAAATTTAACTCGGACGATCCCAATTTCCCACTGGACGGACTGCGATTCGTTGGACTTATGTCCATGATAGATCCTCCCAGAGCTGCCGTACCTGACGCCGTAGCTAAATGCAGAAGTGCCGGTATCAAAGTTATCATGGTAACTGGAGATCATCCAATCACGGCCAAGGCTATCGCGAAATCTGTCGGTATCATTTCTGAAGGCAACGAGACGGTCGAAGATATCGCTCAGAGACTCAACATTCCAGTTTCGGAAGTCAATCCTAGAGAGGCTAAAGCCGCTGTTGTTCATGGTTCGGATCTGAGAGACTTGGCTCAAGACCAGTTGGACGAGATTTTGCGGTACCACACTGAAATTGTGTTCGCCAGGACGTCTCCTCAACAGAAACTGATTATTGTGGAAGGTTGCCAACGGATGGGAGCTATCGTAGCTGTAACAGGTGAGTGATTTAATTCAAAATTAATTAATTAAAATACTTTGAAAGGGGTACATTAAGATGTGGTTTTTATGTGGTTATCATCAATATAAAGTAAAAAATAAAACTAATTATAGAAAAGCTCAACTCACGCAATTCAATTTCGCAGAAATTCAAAATTGCCAAGAGAAGAAACAAACAAAAATAAAATAAAAATAGCATAAGTAATTATTATTATTTGCACACACAATTTTTTTTTATATAATATATGTCTTCATTCCGACTCCATTCTAATAGTTTTATTATTATATAGTTAAATGCACATCTGTATTTTGTTTATGTAATTATTCATCATGGCGCTGTTTGAGAAAATATGGCACATCATTTTTGACACACAGCCAGACTGTTATAAATAAATTTACTATGTACAAAATAAACTTTAAACTGGTACTAATTAATTAATTAATGAGTTGACCTATTAATTATACAGTGATATTTATAAATTTGTTATTTTTTGTGGCCGTTATTTGAAATTTTACCTTCAAATTTTATGAAAAAACTGTGCTTTATGTGGAAAATTGTGCGAAAATATAAGTAGTTTTGAAATTGAATTGGTATTGTAAAAAATTCCTATATAGTACCACAGCCTCTTTAATATCAGCCGGTCAAATTACAGTATTTTACATTGAAATGTATGATCCCACGTAAATATTCGCTTATCTTATGTAACAAGTCAAATTTTGAGCTTCATTGCGACTTTGTTTAAAAAAACAATCAGTACTAATTTTATGACTACCCTATGTGCATGTAAACAAGCAGTCTGAATCATACAAAGTTGGTCGGCTTGTTCTTAATAGGCTGTGGCAGTACCACATCCATTGACACCGTATGCTCCAATAGACTTGATACTAATTAAAACTTGACTGAAATCCCTACAATTTGTTTTTTTTACTGAACATTACAAAATTACAAGTAACAATTTCTTCAAGCTCAAAAAATAAAAAAGTTAAAGCCTGTCAAGTATTAATAAGTCAAAATAAAATGCTAACAATGTACAGGGTGTCATGCTAACAATGTACAGGGGGTTGAAATCATATGGTATTTCCGTTATTCGTGAAGATAGAAGGGTGCGGTTTGCACAAACCTGTACCAGTTTTTTGTCAAACGGAAGATGCCGTAAACAAAATTTTCATAGCCCTCTTCGTTTCTGAGCTACAGGGTCTTTTTGAAAATTTTGCAATTTGGGACACCCTCTGTATGTCTGTGGTTGTGTGAGTGTGTAAGTGTGCGTGTCTGCACTGGTGTACACTGGTGTATACGGGTGCGAGTTGTTGAGGGCTAAGCCGTTTAATCTTTTTCTTCTTTTTTATATATAACTCTATATTTATTTTCCCTATTTACTGCAATATTTAAAAAAATTATTAAAAGATCATATTTATTAGTAGGCCATGATTGATAATAAAAGAAACTAAAGAATTATTAAAAATATACACTGCTATCTGTCTCTTGTTTTATTTTGAGGGCCACTAATAAATTCTTTATATGTTAGGGAAACTTAACTCTCTACCGCTATTTGTAAATCTTGGAAGCTATCGTATCGGAATTTTTAAATATTCCTTTAGCTAATTTACATGAAATATACTTTCAGCAAGATGGGGCTTCCCCTCACAACTTAACTTACAACGAAAATATTAGAATTTTGTTAAATTATTATTTCTCAAATCAATGAATTGGAACCAATAGACCTATATGATGGCCTCCCTGATTCCCGGATTTGTCCTTTCTTAATTTCTGATTTTGGGGATTTTCTCGAAATATGAAATTATAACTAAACAATGTCGAACATCTGGAAAATGCCATAATAATGCAAGTTTTTAAATATTTGCAAACCCATCCTGTTATAACAAATTTCGTTATAAAATATAAAAAAAAGAAAAATATATTCAGAGATTCAAAACTAAAATATATCAACTCCAAATAAAATTTTAATATTTGCATGACAATTTTAGTAAATACCATTTTGATTTTTTATTATTTATCACGGCCTACTAATAAGAAAATGATATATTTTAAATATTGCAGTAAATAATAAAAATAAATACAGAGTGATATATATTTGTGAGAAGCTCATAGCAAGGCGGATCATATGATTTATAAATATAGAGGATATAATATTTTTTTCATAGAGAAACAGACCACGCCACTGTATTCTACGTAAAAGGTTCTACTAGAATCAGTTTTCACTTTCTCGATATCATCCATAACAAAATTTTCGAAAAGACCTTGTAGCTCAGAAACGAAGAGGGCTATGAAAATTTTGTTGACAGCATCTTTCGTTTGACAAAAAAGTGGCACAGGTTTGTTCAAACCGCTTCGTCCTATCTTTACTAATAACGGAGATACCGTATGAATTCAACCAATGGCTCGAATGGAACAAACTAACTGCCATGTTCTTCAAACAGGTGACGGTGTAAACGATTCCCCAGCCTTGAAGAAAGCCGACATCGGTGTTGCTATGGGTATCGCCGGTTCCGACGTGTCCAAACAAGCGGCCGACATGATCCTGCTCGACGACAACTTCGCCTCCATCGTCACCGGAGTAGAGGAGGGCCGTCTCATCTTCGACAACCTGAAGAAATCCATCGCCTACACCCTCACCTCCAACATTCCCGAAATCTCGCCTTTCCTCGCCTTCATCCTGTGCGACATTCCCCTTCCTCTAGGAACGGTCACTATTCTTTGCATTGACTTGGGAACTGACATGGTGAGTACTCGTCCGCCTTGAATTTTTTTTTACTTATTCCGATTTTGTATTTTTATTTTTCCGCGATGAATTTTTGATGCGCTTGTAATATTTTTTACGAGCGGTCAATGACAGAGTCAGATCAAAAGCTAATGAAAGTTTTACTTGGCAACATTTGGATGAGGTTTTAATGGGAATAAGTAGCTCTATATTTTTCAAGAGGTTCAAGAAAGTATTTGATAATTTCTATACTTTTGTAGCGGTGTAATTTTTGTGAAAGGGCTGGTTAATTCGTTTTGATATAGATTTCCTGTACTGTTCGGGTCGCTCTCAGGGGTCGTGTAAAGTGGGTGTGCGGCAGAAGGAAATATATATTACATTTAAGAAATCTGTCTAAGGCTTAACCCAATCCTGTCTTGTTAAGCCACACCCAAAATTCCAAACACATGTGCTTTGATTAAGATTTGCAGAGCTTCAGCATTTGCCATAAAATAGCGAGCGATTTGTTACAAAACCATATAAATTATATATCACTGTAATCAGAAAACTTCAATCTTTGTTGGTATTGTAACGGAATTTTAAATTATTTCTATATTTCCGAGAAAATTTAGTCCAAACATAAGGTATATTTTGTTGATGTTTGATCATCAAAATCTTAAAAATAAAGAAGTTATCTAAAAAGGTGCTACAATACCGACATAGTATAATCCTTTATCTTTAATTTCCTTCTTCATTTGTGTAGAAATTTCTAGTCAGTTTTACATAAAACGTTAAATGCCGAACGCTTATTTTGCTACTTTTTCGGACTAGTGAAATGGACTTTTAACCAATCAAAGCACGGTAAATTTTCAAGGGGTATCACCCCGTGTCGCATCGTCAGAAGAAAAAAAAAAGAAAAAAGTATTTAAAATGATTACTTAGAACTCTTTTGACATCAATTTAATTATTTGGTATGACAATCTGATTATCATTGTAAATAATGAGATACTGTACAACATGAAGTCAAATTAATTCATTTACCTCGAAACTGTGAACCGTTTTCAAGATATTTGAGTTTAATTTGAATAGGATAAAGGAAGTACCACCAATAGTACTCTCTACCTAATGGAAAGTACCTTTCAGGGCTATTACGGAATTTTACACGATCGCTTTGGCATTAAAATATGTGTAAGAGTACCAAATTTCAGGAAAAACGGTTTATCAATGTTTTTAAAAATAAACGAAATAGCCTTTCGTGGGCTGTAAGTTCTTCGGCAAGGATTTTAAGGCATGTGTTCAGAGGAACCTTTTGTTTTATTTTTATTTGTAGAATCACCTACCACAGTTAGATACACTGTTTTTTGACATCCTGTTGCAGTAACGTTACGCATTGACTGAATGATAAAAAAAATCACTAAATAATAAAAATGAAAATATCTAGAAAAATCTTTGGTTAAGGGGTAGGCAACCTTTATAGTATTTTGAAGAGACATAAATTCCCCATTGAATATCGGAATAATATATTGGGTGTTCTATTTAAAATAAGAGTAACTTGCTTTTTTTAGAAATAATTAATGTTCATTTTGTCTCACCATGTATAACTTTTTGGGTCAAGTTTTAATTTGATTTAAAGTATAATGTATTTGGACTATACCGTATTTAAAGTATAATATATTGGACTATACCGGGTGAATTCCTATTTAGGACCATTATTGATATTTCAAAATTGTTCTTCATTTTTAGAAAATGCTAATATGTATGTCAAAAATCTTACATTTTAGTCATGGCTTCTCTAATGAAACTCGCCCTTATTTTTCTTCTAGGATTCGAAAATCAGTTAATATACGGGGTGCGTCTCAAAAGTGGCTCACCCCTATAACTTTTTTATTTTTTCAGATAAAAAAGCTAGATTTGGTATGTTAGTATATGACATAAATTAAGATTGACTGACGAATTCAATTCTTTTTGGCCACTTCCTGTTTCACCGGAAATAACTACAACTTTTGATTTTTAAATGGCACCCTCGGTATTTTTTTACTTTATTTGATAGAAAATAAAACTCTTGATAGAATGATATATCATATGTCAACTTTTGACATTTTTGCATATGATTTATTTGAAATTATAACTTGCGGTTCGTAACGAAAATTTGACTCGGAATACCAAGTATGTGGTATCAAATTATTCGTAAAAAATGCTTTTTCCAAATATGCTAATGATCCACCCTCGTTCCATCTGAAAAAATTGAGACATGATTTAAAATACGATTTGGGCATTTTCTAACTGGCCAGGACAAGACACTAAAAACATTAGACGATCAAATCCATTTTTCCAAGGCTCTTTGATTAAGAATTTTATATTTTTAACATATTTTTGTGTTTTTAACATAGCCATGGCATTCTAGATTGAATTTTAAAATACGATTTTTTATTAAGCGAGAATGTCAAAAGTTGACATATGATATGTCATTCTATTCAGAATATCATTTTCTATCGAATAAAGTAAAAAAATACTAAAAAAAAATTGTGGTCATTTCCGATAAAACAGGAAGTGACCAAAAACAATTGAATACGTCAATCAATCCTAATGTATGTCATATACTAACATACCAAATCCCGTTTTTTTATCTGAAAAAATAAAAAACCAAAATATGGGTGATCCACTTTTGAGACGCATCCGGTATAGGGTAGTCCATTACAAAAAAAACATAAATTTGATGTGTAACTTTTTTGGGGACACCCTCTAGATCTCTCTATATTTCTAAAAAATGCCCTCACAAAATTTCATTTCAATACAAACTATGGTTTCATGTATGTCCATGTATTTCAATACAAACCATGGCCACTACTTTTTGAAACTTTTTAAAAATATAGCACTGCTATTCCGTTTAATTATTTTTGCTTATTGTTTCGTTTAAATATATGCATCTGTCAACAAATTGACAATACCATAAGTAAAACATTCGCTAACTTCAGATCTGATTCAACATTTCGAATGAACGTTGATTTCCCGATACCATTTTGCGAACAAGGTGGTTGACGGCCATCAACCGCGAGTGGCATCAGATTCTATTGAAAACCTGTGTGTTATTGTGATAAGGTGCCGGCCATATCGCTGGCGTACGAAAAGGCCGAGTCCGATATAATGAAACGTCAGCCCAGAAACCCGTACACTGATAAATTAGTAAACGAAAGGTACCAGGATCTCGCAGCGAACCAATCGCTCGCCAGAATTATTTATTGAACGCATGTAGAATATTCGTTTTATTTTTTTGTGTTTCTTTCTTTTAAGGCTGTTTTACACGTATCCAGTAGCTGGCAACAGTTTCACTGTTCGTGTTATCGTGCTAATACATACAGGGTCGCTGTTATGTATGGGAACGGTCGATTATTAGGTAAAATATAGGAGGTGCCGCAAAAAGTTAAATACAAAGGTTATAGGATTTTTAAATATCTATTAGCGAGTAATAAATTTAAGTATACAGAGTCGGTCATAAAGTCGTGGTACATCAAAGTTTCATTTTTTTAAATAAAAACCCCTGCATATTATTGCATATTTCAATTCTTCCTTCAATTCTAAGCAAAAATCGAAATACACACAATGTACCTCAAACCAACCGTTTCCGAGTTATTGATTTTTGAACATATATCACTTAAACAATTTGATTTAATTAATTTCGATATGTTCAGTTTCATTTAATGATGCTATTCTGCCGAAACTGTCATACTGTTGTAATGATTTTTTAAATGCCTATTAGTTACTAGTAAATTTAAGTATACAGGATCGGTCATAAAGTTGTGGCACACCAAACTTTATTTTTTTTAATGGAACCCCCTGTATATTATTGCATATTTTAATTCTTCCTTCAAGTTTAAGCAATAATCGTAGTATACAATGTACATAAATTGTAGAATTGAAATGGTAAGCGAAGATTTTGTAATTTCCAGACTTGATATAATCTCATTTTATACATCTATAAATGCTAACTTATTGAGAGCAATGTCAAATATTATTAAGTATCGCAGTTTCGGCAGAATAGCATCGTTAAATGAAACTGAACATATCGAAATTAATTAAATCAAATTGTTTAAGTGATATTTTCAAAAGTCAATAACTCGGAAACGGTTGGTTTGAAGTGCATTGTGTGTATTTCGATTTTTGCTTAGAATTGAGGGAAGAATTGAAATATACAGGAGGTTCTATTTAAAAAAAATGAAACTTTTATGTGCCATGACTTTATGACCGACTCTGTATACTTAAATTTATTACAAGCTAATCGATATCGATCTTTTGTATTTAACTTTTTGCGGTACCTCCTATATTTTACCTAATAATCGATCGTTTCCATACATAAAAGCGACCCTGTATAAATGCCGCCGTACAAGTGAAACCGGAGCCAGCTACCGGATAGGTGTAAATCAGGCTTTATCTCGACGAGTTATTTGTCGAGTCGAGAGTTTTTTTGGACGCATAATGCACTTAATATATTACTAGGCTCGGTCTTTTTCAGTTTCATATTTCCGTCACTTTTGGTTCCCCCTGTATTTTTTTGAATCGAGTAGAATCTAGATCAGTATCCAGTAATAAAGTAGAGATCGTGGCTGTGGATATTACTGGATTTCTCGGCATTTTGTTCAGCAATATCTATTTAAAAATAATGTCTGTAATTTTGTAGCTGGTTCATTTCTTGAAAAAAGTCTCTGTTTTTCGCCACTGAAAGAGAAATCTACAAAATAAAAAAGTTAACGGAAACCAGCTTGTTAGTGGCTTGTTAAGAGTAAAAAAAATTGAATAACCGACAATAAATTACTTAACATTTAAGGAGGTATATCTCCTCCTGTCATCAGAAGCAAAAAAAACACGAAGAACAACTATTCAACTAAAGTGTATTTAGATAGTTTAAATAGTTTTTTATTTGTATTTTTTTTTTGCTTCTGACGACGGGAGGCAAATTTGTTTTAGTAGCCACTGACCAGCTGGTCTCTATTTGGATTCAACGCCCAGTGGTGTTTACAAAAAATAACTTTTTATATTGTAGATTCTTTTTTTCGATTGGCGAAAAACTCTTTTCAAGAAATCCATATTTAATAAAAATAAGTTGTATTTTTTCAGTTGATTACAGAGTATTTCGAATATGAATTCATTACTTTATTTTTAAAAGCTTCTTAAAAATGCTTTGCTTATTTTTTCATTAGCTGTTTTCCATTCAAGATTGATTTTTAAAAAATGTTGATGCTTCAAGTACCGCGTTCTTAGCATTAGTTTTAGACCTAACGGGTCCTTAGAAATATGGGATGTTTTATATTTTTTCGGGCTAATGCTAATACCAAATGAATTTGCGCAAGCCCAAAACTAGTGTTTTAAGAATGTTCCAAATAATATTTTTCATGTTGAATTTAACCGTTTATAAGTGTAAAAAACGAGGTTTGGTGTGTTAGTATATGACATAAATTAGGATTGATTGACATATTCAATTGTTTTTGGTCACTTCCGGTTTCACCGGAAATGACTACAACTTTTGATTTTTAAATGACACCCTCGGTATTTTTTACTTTATTTGATAGAAAATGACATTGTGAATAGAATGACATATCATATGTCAACTTTTGACGTTCTCGCTTAATAAAAAATCGTATTTTAAAATTCAATCTAGAGTGCCATGGCTATGTTAAAAACACTAATTCTTAATCAAGGAGCATTGGAATAATAGATTTGATCGTCTAATGTTTTTAGTATCTTGTCCTGGCCAGTTAGAAAATGCTCAAATCGTATTTTTAATCATATCTCCATTTTTTCAAATGAAACAAGGGTGGCTCATTAGCATATTTGGAAAAAGCATTTTTTTACGAATAATTTGATACCACACACTTGGTATTTCGACTCAAATTTTCGTTACGAACCGCAAGTTATAATTCCAAATAAACCATATGCGATAATGTCAAAAGTTGACATATGATATGTCATTCTGTTCAAAGTGTTATTTTCTATTAAATAAAGTAAAAAATACCTAGGGTGCTATTTAAAAATCAAAAGTTATAGTAATTTCCGGTGAAACTGGAAGTGACCGAAGACAATTGAATACGTCAATCAGTCCTAATTTATGTCATATACTAACACACCAAATCTCGTTTTTTTGTCTGAAAGAATAAAAAAGTTATAGGGGGTGAGCCACTTTTGAGACGCACCCGGTATATAGTTTAAAATACACTTGATATATTATGTACTGTTCTAATAGTTCAAAAAAAAAATTTTAAATGGTAAATTCGTTAGTGAACTTTTCAAAAATCAGGGACCTAAAATTTCCTCTCATCTCAATTCATTTTTAGAAAAGAGCTACTTCAAAAATTAATTAATTTAATTATTAATTAAGCGAATATTTAATTAAATTAATTATTAATTAATTAAATTATTGGTTAAGTTGATAGTTAATTAATTTAATTATTAATTAAATTAACGATTATAACATATTATAAGGAATGGAATTCAGCTTTAAGCTTTATGTTCTACGTCTTAGATAATTATGTGTTTATATGTTTGATTTCAAAATATTTTAAAATTAAATGAAATGGGATAAGGAACGTTTATTAATATATTTGTTGCACTATATACATAGAGCTTTACTCGAATAAAAATGCTACATAAACGTTTCTGTGTTTTTGCTTAAATGTAATTTTGTGTATTTTTTTTAAATACTCTGTAACACTTCCGGTATAAATACCAGTAATATCCGCAGGTTGAAATACGAAATTATTATTTATAAGCGATAATTTACAGGTATGTTCAAAATTATTTATCTCTCTATCTTCATTTTTTCTATGCCGAACTTTTGTCTTTTTCTAAACATCATTTTCAAAATCCTTATTCGCTTTTTTTATCTCGGCGATTTTATCCTTTTTAGCTACTATCTAGTGGAAATCAACGTAACTTAGTTAATAGCTTTTTCACTCACTTAAATTTATCAGTTTACTAGTGTATTGCTAATTGAATAAAATAGGGCATTGATAGTTTTGACGATATTTTTTTAATTAATGATAAATTACATGATCTAGATAATTTAATCTTTTCCGTTTTATAAAGGCTTATTTTTAAGTTTTGACATTTTATTTTTTAATCTATACATACGTTACCTGACAAACAATAATTACTTTAAAAAATAGACTAAATTTTTTATATTAGTCTATGCGAGTATAAAAGGTTATTCAAATAGACTGTCCACCCTTGCTAACCTTATTATTTACGATATAAAGTTGTTTAAATTAGTGATCTAATAATATCGTGTTACTGAAAAAAGTGGCATCATAGAAGACGTAGAAATGATGTTTCAGTTCTAGCATACCTATGTTGAAATAGCTGAAACTCTCTTGATAGCCATAGTTAGATACTTAGTTAACTTGTTAAACGTTAAAACTATAAAAAATATAAATAGTTTCAAAAAACCTTTTTTTTATTTGGATACTCTGTATATTTTCAATGTTGTAGTTTTAACCTTGAACAAGAACTTCCAGGTCAACTGTCAGCATTCAATATGGTAAAGCAGAAATGTTATTTTTATTCCTAGTGACATCAGTTTTTTGGAACACAGAAAGTTTTTTAATTTATTTATTATTTTATTATTATTATGAGCTTTTAAAGCTCAAATTTAATAAAATCTATTTCTCTCTTTATTCTAGCTAACGTAGAATATCAATATTTATTTAGGAAGTTTCAAGTAATTGTACCTTTTATGATACATGAATCTCAAACTTCACATTATAAAGTCTGTCCAATAAGTCAGGGAAGATTTTGACAGAGGACATACAAAGAATTACAGAAAATTTACGGTCAGATGTCTGTGTTGTCCACGAGATATGTCCAACGAGAACACAACGATGTTGTGTTCTCGTTGGACATATTACCAAAATTCCTGATGCTAAAAACCGTATAGGTTATGTTTTTTATCAAACATTTTATTATGCTGAGTCCGCTCATTGAGGCGATCAAAACGCTTATAAATTATAGAGGAATACAATAAGGACTTGAGCTAATATTGATTGTTGATCACCTTTCGTAAAAAAGTCAATTGGAAGGAATTTATCATTATATGTGATGTTCATAAGAATTTAATTTTCTCTCATATTAAAATTAAATCAAACCAGATCAACAAAAATTGCGGAACAGAATATTTGTTGTTTTAACTATAATTTACTTACACTTTTGAAATAAAAACACGAATTACTTGTATACATATTTGTACAATACAGTGTATGGTAAAACCAATATTTACTAAATATTTGCGTTATTATTTTGTTAGTACTGTAAAACTTTTATTTGCCATACCAATAATATCTATAGAAGCGCGAAATATATGCATGAAAATGTCCTAGAAATAGGCAAACAAATCTATTATTTACCAAAAGACCTAGACTAAATAAATATTGAAATATGCGGGTGTAGTATAAGTTTCATTTTTTTAAACTGAATAAAACAAATTGACGTTTTGATAACGTAACTCTCCTTTAATGTTCCGACATTTTTATTTTAACATATTGGTGTTATTTCTGTATGTAAACTACTGATACTTAGCCAATGTTATGCTGGCCATGTGTGTAACATACATCTGAACAACGGGCCAAGGGTAAGGGGATCGCAGTTATAAAATATCCAGGGGCGTGCGATGTTTTATGAAAATATATCAGGAATTTCGTTATTATTTTCTAAATGTATCTAAATGTTGTACTAATTATAATATGCTAAAATAAAGTTATAGGTATAAAAATCCATATATTTTTTTCCAGAGATCATTATGACCTTTAAAAAACATTTACAGATAGCTAATTTGTACAACTTTATATCGTTATTGAAATTTGTCGTTCCCTAAAATGCCTAGTCAATTCAAGTACTGCCCGCAATCAACGTAACTCTACAATTATTGGTACGTCGTTTGACTCTAGATCTCAGTTCTTTTCTATAATGAAAGTATATTTCTGTCAAACACCGTAATTAACTAAAATATTTAAATTACCCTGTCAATCATTGAATTTAAGTGACAACAACACAGTTGACAGTGTCACCTTTTATTGTCAAAGTGAAATATTTGCCTTAATTATGATATTTAAGATAAAACAATACATCGAAAGAATTATAGTCAGCATTTTTGTAACGGAAAATCTTGTAGTGTGAAATTGGAGGTATAGCTGTTAAATTTAAAATATGTAATCGGTATTATATTTATTATTATTCATAGACTAAAACCGATAAACAGAAATTATTCAATTAATTAAGGCGTTTCACTCTTAATCTTAACTCTTCAAATGGTTTGAAGAGTTAAGATTCATTCAGAACCTTAAAATTAGTGGTTTCAATTAGCGTAGAAGTTTGTTTCTCTAATTTCATTGTAAGCATTCAGAACATTAAAATTAGTGGTAGTCATTTTCAATTAACAGGTTAACAAACTTTTAACTTTTTCCACTAATTATACATCAAAATTTGCCAGTAATGTCATTTTTTGTTTTATAAGATAATCACTAGGCTTTCTTTTTGTCTACAACTGACTACTAAGCTGTTTGCTAGTGTATTCTATTTATTTTAATTGTATTTTTTAGTATTTGTGAACGGTCGTAAATTCTTAAGTCAAAATTATAATTGAAGCCGCTAATTTATTCCACTAATTTCGAGGTTCTGAATGAAGCTTTAGGCTGTTTACACCGGCAATGCGTTAAACGACTAGACATTTCAGGGAACGACGGAATTCAGTATATATCACTTCAATTTTTATATCATACTATATTTTAAAAATCATGTACTTTCGACCTATACACATATTTTACATTAACATGACTTTGACTATTAATTTTCTTTGTTTATTGCTTATTTTCATTTCTTTTCTTTTTATTTTCCTTTATTTAGGTACCGGCCATTTCTCTGGCTTACGAAGAAGCTGAATCTGATATAATGAAGCGGCCGCCCAGAAACCCGCAAACCGACAAATTAGTTAACGCTAGGTGTAGTTTAATTTTTTTTGTTTTTATATATATTTTTTTGTATTTGTGGTGGGACTAACAGTTGTACGGTGTGGCTAATACCTGCTTTGTGGTGTTAATATATTTACTGCCAGTAACAAAGACGGATGGGGATTATGTAGGATTTAACGGTATTTATATTTGGCTTTATAAAACATACTGTTGTTCTCTTATAGACAGAGGTACAGCAGTTGAATAATAAAAGTCATAGAGATACCATTAAGAAGACTATCAGTTTTTTTGTCAAAAACAAAAATAAAGTATTTTTCTTTACATTTTCCATCAGATTTAACTAGCTGTAATTTCTAAGTTTTTAAGTTGTTTGTATAAATTGTTTTTAAGTATAAATCTTATCAATTATTGCAACTTCTCCCATTTCCGGGATATTTTCGTTCCTATAGAAAATACATTTTTTACTTCAGCACTTAGAAATATGCTTAGAAAAGATCTTACCAAATTATTATAAATTTTATCACGATGAATTCTGGTTGGAATTCTTGAAAACGTCTTTCTTAACTACTATGTCAATATTAATTTCTCTTTACTAAAATATTGTTAAAATAAAACGAAATTTTTGTCTTTTGTATACTATACAGGGTGTTTCAAAAAACATGTGCTATTTCTGGTGGGGAGATTCCGTACGTGAAAATAAGATTTATTTTTTATAGACTATAATACTAAATATATTTTTAACAGTCGTTGTTATATTAGTTAGCAGTAGCACAGATTAGGTATCCTATAAGTATACAGATAAAAATCTTGTCCCTAATTCGTGGTACGAAAATTGTTTTTTATGACGATGTGCAAACGAGTAAAATTTCCTGTGCGCAAAAATAAACTCGCGTAAAATAACAATAAACAGCGTATTAGAGAGATATCGCTAAACCGAATAGCGTGCATGGACGTTAATAAGGCCAGGTGTTATTTCCTTTACGTAAGGTGGTATTAACTCTCTTCATTTATAGTTATCGGATCGGAAAGAATTCTGTTCACGTCGCGTCCGCTATTTATTACATGCCCATTTAAGCAATTTTTAAACGTTATTTTAGAGGCCATAACTGGGCGTGCTATGTGCGCAAACTAGTAACATAACTAGTGCCCGATTCCGAAAATTGGAACCACGAAAAACAATAAAGAAAAAAGAAAGTTTATAATCTGTGGTAGTAGTAAGAAAAAGTTGTAATAAAATGGTATCACTATGATTGTATTATTCTGGGAAAATAAATAAGCTTGATGTATATAAAAAAATTGAAAAATCAATTTTAATTACATAAACGAGTCTTAATCATAAAAACTTTCTTAAATGCCATTCGCCATTAAATAATACTAATGTACAAGTACACCATACGATAAAAAAACGTCGTTAGAGTTGGCTTGAAAATTAAAATCGATGTCATTTTATATTGAAATTGTCATTGATGGTCATTCGAAGCTTACTTGGCGCCTTTTTTTATCATTCGGCATTTCTCTATAAATATTGAAAACCAGTAATGATTCTTAATGAGCATTCACAATTAAATTACGATTTCAACTTGACATTTATCAAACTGACAATTCCATAAATGTCAAACGGATCTGATCAGCTTTATTTTTTTTTGCTTATTACTATTTTTTTAGTTTAGTTATTATCAGTATCTTATATCCTAATTTTATATTTGTTTATATTTTGTGTTGAGACTGACAGACGCTTTATTTTGTGTTAATTAGATGAGGTGTATTACTAACGGTATTAACGTTTACTAATATTTGTTGATGAGATAACCAAGTGACATTTACGATCTAATATATTTTAGTCCGTGTAGGTATATTCTGATGCCCGTTTAACAAGAAAATATTTTATTTTTCCGGTTAGAATTTATTTTTTACTAGAATAGGAAACAAACAAGTAAAACAACAACACCCACAAACACTATCGCCCTCCCCCAGCAGTACTGTGTTCGTTCTTGTTTGATCTGTATACAAGTCATATTTTTTAGTTGCCAATAAGTTAGTTTATAAGGCAATATTTGCAAAATATTTCTGTAAATACTTTCAGAAGTCAATTCAAATATAAATCCGTGTTTTAAAAATTAGTTCCCATGTATCCTGAAATAGATCGAGACGCGCCGTGATTGGTTGTTTGTTTTTTATGGTTAATATCGTATTGTTAATCGTTAATCTGGGTTAACAATAAAAAACAAATAACCAATCACGGCGCGTCTCGATCTACTTCAGGAAACGTGGGAACTAATTTTTATAACACGGGCTTATATTTATCTTACTATTTTGTGAAATAACACGAAGCAATCAAGGTCAAACGTTGTGGTAGCTTCAGAAAAATAAGTAAACATGGAGTATCAATAAATATCATTAATTTGTAATGGAGTGTAATGAATACCACTATATTAAACTGATATGAAAAATCAAAAACAGTGCATTTAGAAAACAGTTACCGATGGTAAATTAAATTGGCTATTCCTCTAAGATTACACAAGAATATTTAGTTTTAATCATTGTCTAATATTATTAATTACAATACAGTAAAAAAGTTTATTTCCAAAACTTAAAATCGTAAAACTCCAGAGCAATACGCAGTGACTAACTGTTCTAGCGGTCCGCCTTTTATAGTTTATAATCCACGATGTTAAAGTATTTAAAAAATTGTCTAATTATTTCTTATTTTTGAATGGATTTATATCAAACCATGTTATTATATATAAAAGTATCTTTTATTGACATTGGGTCAATCAATAATTTTCCCAATCAGCTCGATACATTGATGATGTTGCCAGTATTACTCATCAAGCAACACTACTGTTATATTAATCAATTAAGGCCGCGTAAACAAACATAACGTATACAATTTTATATACTAATTAATTATAGTATAATTAAATAATAAACATTTTGTAATTATAATCCTGCAGATTGAGTGAAAAGTTTTGTTCTTAATTATCTACTCTACATATTATAAACGGGTGTTCAAATTTTTTTTATAATCTTGTCGAATATAAAATATTAATCTTTTAGAATATATATCAACATAAAACGAGATGTAATTAACGAAATATCATTGTAACATCAGCTATTTTAGAAACGTCTAGGTTTACTGATTTCACTGACAGTTATGAAAAAAAGTCCTTTGCCTCGGGTACAGATACCGCCACGTTTTGGAAATAGCTCAAAACGAAACAAAATTGAACGAGGCAACAGGAAACGCCAAAAAAATCAAGCCAAGGTTTTTTTAAGAGTAGTTTTCAGGCGCCTTTAAAAATCGAAAGTAGGTCGAGGCAAACCGAAGTGTGTCAAGACTGGAAGTTGGGCGACGAAATGCGCTCTTGACCGGCTTCGAAGAGTTCTCCGCTTAGTGTAGAGGCTGTTTTACATTTTTAAATTTCTTCTTGTATGTTTTTTGTGATAAATATGTGCTTCGACGTTGTGACACTCTAGTTTTATCAAAGTTTGACAAAATATTATAATAAATTCATAAATATTTGTATAATCAATCACTATAAAGCATTGTGTAGAGTAATAACATTCAGAAATGGTTAAATTTTGGTGTAAGACATTATACACATAATATGTTTAAATTTTTGATAGAATTGTCTCAATTTTTTAGAGTATAACAAAAATGGACTGTCCTCAGATCACATTAGGCGAACACAGTACAGATCACGCTGATCGTTTTAGCCCTTTGCTTGGCACAGGCTTATCTCAGCCTTAGACTTAGTTTCTCAACTAGATGTGCCGTACTATCGATTCTCTCTGATCGTCGATACCGTCTCATACTCGCTTCACTACGGTGTATCGATTTTTTACCACCATCAACAATCATCGTTATATGTTTGTTTGTATTTTGTTTTGTTTTACCTGCGTTTCAGTTGGGAGATCGTTTATTGTATCAAATCTCGATACATTTTTTTAGATAATTGGCTGATAAAAATATAATAAAATGAAAAGAAAAAATCACTATTACGACAACTCTCCTAAGCGTTATTTGTATGTTTGTTTTACTCCATCTAACCATTGTTATTTTATGTTATTGACGTATGTTTTTTCGTCGAGTTCAGGTCCCTGCCATATCTTTGGCTTATGAGGAGGCAGAATCTGATATAATGAAGAGAAGGCCTAGAAACCCTTTCAATGATAAGCTCGTCAACGAAAGGTAACATAAGTGTTCGTGGTCTCCTCTTCTTCCTCCTTTTTATTTGTTTATACAGTGTGTTCCGGAAAATTGGATATATTCGTATCCAGTTACTACTGATAGAAGAAAAGGTTATGTTTCTCAGAAATTTATATTCTTGATTAAAGCACAGCCTATTCATTACCAGCCTGTCGATTTACAATCATTTGCATGGAAATCTACGTTCCTACCTAGATATTCGCTTGTTTTAGGTAACCAGTCGGGTTATGAGATCAATTGAATCTTCACTCTGACTTCTGGTATGTCTACGAGAATAGGCGTCAGTTTTTGACACTCAAAAATAAGCTACAATGACCAGCTGGTTCTGATTAAGACTGTGATAAATGTATCTCTGGAAATTGATGAACTAGTAAAAATTTCAGTATATTGTTTGGGTTACAAAAATGTGACATTAGCTCAAGATTGAATTGGTTTATATTATCTAAAAAATGCGAGTTTAAATTTAGAGCATCATACTATAAAATATACAGGGTTGTTTACCACATACGACACAAGTATTGTAGCTAAACGATTAGATTTTTACAAATTGTAAGTTTTGGATTCGTTGAAGAGATTAGAGCTACAATTTAAAAATATCTTTAATTTTTAAATGAAATAAGCGGACTATTCGACAATATTAGTATATGTACTCTTTGAAAATTTGTTACATTTTTAAAAATAATCTAAAATGTCAATATTCCATGGGTATAGTAATAAATGAAGTCTAAATTATAAGAAAATGCATTTTCTACGAAAACTTGAAGAGATAGGTAAACAATGATATAATACAATTTGATAGACAATTAAATTGAGCATTTGA